AAGAGAAGAGAAGAGAAGAGAAGAGAAGAGAAGAGAAGAGAAGAGAATCTCATGCCAAAGACAGAAATAGCAAAGGTGGTCCCATGGCTCTAGGGCAGGTCCTACCACAGCCCTAACACAGTCCTGACCCACTCCCAGCCCCACCCAATGAAGTGGCATTCTGACCACAGGACGCTTCAAAATCAGAGTCTCAATAGTATTTCAAAATAGATATAAATACCAAAATTTGAGCTGGTGAGATGATTTCGTGGGTGAGGAGCTCGCCGTGCAAGCCTGCTGACCTGAGTTCGGTCCCCAGAACCCATCTGAAGATGGGCGAAGAGAAACGTTCCGCAAAGTTGCTCTCTGACCTCCATTTGCAGCATGCAATGGCACAAATTTACACAAACATACATCATGAACACACACTAATTTTTCAAAAAAAAAAAGATTCTAAAACTCCCAATGTCTTCACATTCTAGTGGGGAATACAACCCAAACTGAAACTGTCAATATTCTATTGATTAAATCTTTTTTAAAAAGTATTTTAGATTTGTTTTACCACAAATGATATTTAGAAGATAGGCATGTATAACATGAATCAAATATCATACAATATATTTGATTATTAAAACATCACTTGGTACCCTATAAATATGTACAATTTAATGTTTTTATGTATCAAATTTTTAATGTTTAAATCAAAATTATCTGCTCCTTTTCCAATAGGAATTATGTTGGTCTCAATCACCCACACCTGCTGCTGGGGAACCAGGCATCCTCAGCCTCCATCCATCCCTCAAGGCCCTTCTATCACACGTGAAAGTGCTGCTTTCTTGAAGATTCTGCCTTATCTAGACTTCCTGCTCTGCAGACTCCCAGGTGGCTTCAAGACAGGTCTCCAAACTCTTGTTAGGCTCAGGAAGTTACACTGGGGCTCACCAAACCCAAGGAAGGGGGTAAGGTGACACACATGCTGTCTGACACTAGTCTGGAATAGGCAGAATGTGTCTGCTATAATGGCAAACCCCAGGAGCTGACAAACCCCAGCATGCACAAGAGAAAGCTGCCAAACTTTGTTCATCCCACACTGTCCAGGGCAACAAGGAGCAGATAATTTTGATTTAAACATTAAAAATTTGACACATAAAAGCATTAAATTGTACATATTCATAGGGTACCAAGTTTTGTTAGTGGGTCTGCCTAGAAATGTATATGACATGCTTTCAGGGTTTGACCCTCCTAAACCTTAAGGTCCATTAAATTAACACATTGACTCCAAGTTTGTCCTTGACAAGAAATGTGTCCTTGATTTTATAATGCACGCTAAGTGAGTGTGGTGACACCCACGGTAGTCCCAGCTCAATGGGAGGCCCAATCAGGAGGATCAGAAGAGCCCACAATTTCAAGACCACCTTGGACAACATGGCAAGATCCC